TAACTTTCAGTTTGAATGTTTTAGTCCAACGAATGTCCTTCGGTTTAAATGTTTTAGTCAAACCCACATTCAACAACTAGTTTCAGTGAGTCAAAATATTTTGTGGTTAAATGCTAGACGGTTCTTTGTGTCACCATGGCAATACTCACAGGCAAGTCTTCATAAACTTCATAAACAACATGTCCTGTAATCCAAGCTGTCTATGGCATGGCTTTAATGATATGTTCTGAAAGATCCGAAAGATCCAAAGGTCTGAGTATGAGTATGGATGAATAATGACTAAATTCTTCCCCTTGTGTGGCAAGGTTTGTTACTGCCCCATTTTTTGGAATGTGTTACAGGCTCTATGATTTAAAACCTTATTTTTTGGCTTTTTAAAGAATTAATTATAAGGCACTGGCTGCCAGAGATACTGTATCTAGTGTGCTGTATGTCTTTGCTCTCAACAGAGACAGGTTGGAAGAGACGAATTATCTGGTACTTCCTCTGCAGGACAGGTGGGAAGACATATTTTTTCCCTCATCAATCTGTGCATGAGCTTTGAGACCTGATGGAAATACATAAACATTAGCTAAACTAGGATTCTGTGGTCTTTGTATGCCTGCAGTTTCATTCATGAACCACATATTAGCTATCCCATATGTAAAGTATTTATTTTATTTAAGGGGGAATCACACATATTTTTATTTGACGTACTAACAGTAAATCTACATCAATATTTCTCCCATATCTGGCTGTACATCTGGATTCTATTTGGAGTTCAGTTTGTCACTTTGACTCTCCGTGTTGAAACTATAGTAGATGACAGGACTACAATTACATGAACATCCTTAAAGGCTAAAATAGAGGCCATTTCTGCAACTGTATGTAGAGTAAAAATAAAACACTTTTCATTTTAGTAGGACAACTGAGAGAGAAAGTAATGTTCTACACAATACACCCGGTGAAAAAAAATATTGTAACTTGTGAAGATTTATAGTTGAAAAACAGTTACAATTTCCCATGCAGTTCATATAATGTATTGTTTTAGGTCTAAAAGAACATGTAAACCCTATTAACACAGAATACGTATACATATAATAAAAAAAGGCTCATTATTGGAAATACATTTTAATCAGGCACTTTATCAAGTATATAAAAAAGTATGTTTCAAAGGATTAAGGTGGAAACTGAACAAAATTCAGTGTTTTCTGATCATTATTTACAATAAAACACCACCACTTATATCAATGCCCTTTGGATTATACAAAGGTACAAAGGTAAGACAAATGGCTGGCCAATTTTTTGGACCACAGTGCTATTCAAAAGTAATGTAAACAGATTTCCTTCAACTATAACTGAACAGTGACTTGAACATCATGAGAAACTTTTTAAATGAACACCGAAAAACTGAACATTATTTATTTTCCTTCAAGGCAGCACAAATATAACACGTTCACAGTTAAAAGTGAGGAATTGTTTGTGTACAAAAGTGAAGTATCTGCCATAAATATAGGATACTTTAACAAGAAGAGAGATTTCGTATCCTTAGGAAACACTGAAATTCTTCTGTGACCTTGAGAATTTGAACAAAGAAAATTTTAACAATCAGTTATAAACACAATCATGATTTTCTTCAATACACTCTAAAAAATGCTGGGTTGTTTCAACCCAACTTTGGGTCAAATATGGACTAACCCAACCGTTGGGTTAAATTTTTACATTCAATTTTTAACCCAAAAGTTGGGTTAGTCCATATTTGACCCAAAGTTGGGTTGAAACAACCCAGCATTTTTTAGAGTGTAGGCACTGTGGATTTTCAAAATTATAAGTTGAGCCTTTCAATGAACATCAAAATATGTTGACAAAAAGATTCTGAGAAAAAAAAACTGTCTAGAAAAAACACTAGTAGAATTTTTGCCACAGAAATGAAGTATGGTCAAATGGCAACATTTACAATCATTTTCAAAGTGTTAGAAAATAATTTACAAAAATATGTTTCACAATCTTGCTAGAAGAATGTTCAATGCTGCCATTATTTAGTTTGAAATTGTACAAACTGTACATTGTAGGAAAAAATACATCACTAAAATCATATCACCAGTGCTTTTCAACAAATATGGGTGCCATTTACATACACAAAGCAAAGTAATCCAGCATTTTATGGTATAATTAGCAACATTTACCAGTTGTTTTGAGTAATGATTGAAAGATGCTACAAAAATGTACCTATAAATGTCAGTACCTTGATTAGGGCGTAATGGAGTTTTAAATGAATCTTTATTTTGGTCGAATTAAGTATAATATTGGATAGCTTGATGTATTTATTCAAACATAAACATCCAGTAAAAATTATCAGTCTAAGCCTATGACAAAAAAACAAAACAAAACAAACATAGAAGTTATCAGGTTATCAGCCTATATATTGTATCAACAACATGATAACGATTTCCACTGGCCTTGAGAATATTTGTGATAGACTCTGTGTTCAAAGAAAGACTTGATAACAAACATGAGTATAGCAAGGATAATACATTATTTCCAGTTACATTGCTGCCATAACAATATTTTCCATTTCTGTTACTGTTATTTCTTTGCAGTTTTACAAAATTCCTGGCACAGATAGCTTGTCTTAGCTAATTAAGTAGCAACTTGGTGCTTGATTTTATAATCCTCACAAAATGGGGAAAAACTTTTTTTTTTGTATTTTTAGTTTCATAAGCTACAACTGTGTTCCCATTAGTCAAGCTAAGGGAGGGGAAGCAGCATGTAGAAATCAATATGATCACTGGGGTCTGCAGCAAAAACGTCAAAGACTGTGTACATTGGCATTTTTGCAGATGCTGTACATTTTTTTAGTTTTTCACTGTTTTTATATAAATACTAACAGAAAAACATATTCCCCAAATATTTAAGAGCTTAATACTGAACATACTTAGAACACTTTAGAATGGCAACTGTTAATAAACTAAAACAAGCTCTGATAACAAACATACTGTTACGGCCACATATATACAAATATAAATGTATGTCAATAAAATCACAGGTTATAGCAACCGCTTGACATATGTCATTCTTTTTAAACAAAAAACATCAGTACAAAAATATAAAATACAAAAAGTGTTTTTTCTTACAAAACATTGACATCAAACATAACTGTCCTTTAAAATGTGCAAATGCTGGGCTCAACTTGTAAAAGTGCATGTAGCATTATATGACCCCTTTAATAACTTTCAGTTTGAATGTTTTAGTCCAACGAATGTCCTTCGGTTTAAATGTTTTAGTCAAACCCACATTCAACAACTAGTTTCAGTGAGTCAAAATATTTTGTGGTTAAATGCTAGACGGTTCTTTGTGTCACCATGGCAATACTCACAGGCAAGTCTTCATAAACACAGTGTATGACATGTCCTGTAATCCAAGCTGTCTATGGCATGGCTTTAATGATATGTTCTGAAAGATCCACAAATCATTAAGGTCTGAGTATGAGTATGGATGAATAATGACTAAATTCTTCCCCTTGTGTGGCAAGGTTTGTTACTGCCCCATTTTTTGGAATGTGTTACAGGCTCTATGATTTAAAACCTTATTTTTTGGCTTTTTAAAGAATTAATTATAAGGCACTGGCTGCCAGAGATACTGTATCTAGTGTGCTGTATGTCTTTGCTCTCAACAGAGACAGGTTGGAAGAGACGAATTATCTGGTACTTCCTCTGCAGGACAGGTGGGAAGACATATTTTTTCCCTCATCAATCTGTGCATGAGCTTTGAGACCTGATGGAAATACATAAACATTAGCTAAACTAGGATTCTGTGGTCTTTGTATGCCTGCAGTTTCATTCATGAACCACATATTAGCTATCCCATATGTAAAGTATTTATTTTATTTAAGGGGGAATCACACATATTTTTATTTGACGTACTAACAGTAAATCTACATCAATATTTCTCCCATATCTGGCTGTACATCTGGATTCTATTTGGAGTTCAGTTTGTCACTTTGACTCTCCGTGTTGAAACTATAGTAGATGACAGGACTACAATTACATGAACATCCTTAAAGGCTAAAATAGAGGCCATTTCTGCAACTGTATGTAGAGTAAAAATAAAACACTTTTCATTTTAGTAGGACAACTGAGAGAGAAAGTAATGTTCTACACAATACACCCGGTGAAAAAAAATATTGTAACTTGTGAAGATTTATAGTTGAAAAACAGTTACAATTTCCCATGCAGTTCATATAATGTATTGTTTTAGGTCTAAAAGAACATGTAAACCCTATTAACACAGAATACGTATACATATAATAAAAAAAGGCTCATTATTGGAAATACATTTTAATCAGGCACTTTATCAAGTATATAAAAAAGTATGTTTCAAAGGATTAAGGTGGAAACTGAACAAAATTCAGTGTTTTCTGATCATTATTTACAATAAAACACCACCACTTATATCAATGCCCTTTGGAATATACAAAGGTACAAAGGTAAGACAAATGGCTGGCCAATTTTTTGGACCACAGTGCTATTCAAAAGTAATGTAAACAGATTTCCTTCAACTATAACTGAACAGTGACTTGAACATCATGAGAAACTTTTTAAATGAACACCGAAAAACTGAACATTATTTATTTTCCTTCAAGGCAGCACAAATATAACACGTTCACAGTTAAAAGTGAGGAATTGTTTGTGTACAAAAGTGAAGTATCTGCCATAAATATAGGATACTTTAACAAGAAGAGAGATTTCGTATCCTTAGGAAACACTGAAATTCTTCTGTGACCTTGAGAATTTGAACAAAGAAAATTTTAACAATCAGTTATAAACACAATCATGATTTTCTTCAATACACTCTAAAAAATGCTGGGTTGTTTCAACCCAACTTTGGGTCAAATATGGACTAACCCAACCGTTGAGGTTATAGCAACCGCTTGACATATGTCATTCTTTTTAAACAAAAAACATCAGTACAAAAATATAAAATACAAAAAGTGTTTTTTCTTACAAAACATTGACATCAAACATAACTGTCCTTTAAAATGTGCAAATGCTGGGCTAAGAAAATTGTCATTTGATCTTCAGGATCGTTAGAACAGCATTATAAAACAACTCAAGTCAGTAAGTCTAAAGAAGGGTGACAAAAGCACCGCTTTATGAAACCTCTGGCCAGCCAGTGGGGCAACATTACATACAACAAGATATTGAGGGCTATGCCAGAGGAGAGGCATTTTTAGAGTACCTGAGCAGGTGGGAATGCTTTCTGGTGAGCTCTCCTTAGACAGCATTAAATCCTCAGTTCTGTCTCCTCATGTTCTAAGGAGTGTTCATTTGTACCCATAATGGAGGACGAGTGACCTCCAAAGGGAGCAATGGCTGGGGAATGGGCAGCAAGTGGCGAAAGTGATGGAGAAAAACTCGGAGACATGGCTATTGAGGAAACAGTGCCATCATGGTCAATGGGAGATCGGCGCAATGAGGACAGGTGTGGAAATGTTCGGCCTACAGCAGGTTTCGGCAAAACCGTTTTGGCCCCTGGATGTGCTACAGAGGTAATAAGGGGAGGAGGGTCAATTCTGGGCTTGGGATCTGTCTTTGCTTTGGGATGAAATGGCCGCCGAGGGTTAGGTGGCGCATTCTCATCTTTCAATCTGGCAATTTCTGTAAAGACATTAGCCAGAGGCTGAAATTGAGGGCACCAATCGAGGAGGTAGTCCCAGTTGTAGCTTCCCCTCAGTTCCTCATCACTAGCCACAATAGCTGTAAGAGAACCATCCACAGCAGGCTTACCATCCTCTGGGAAAGCATAATCTTTCGGATGCGAGATTTTAAGCCCTCTTCCAACCCCAAGATAACCACCTCCTTCATCCCGATAAGTTGGCAACTGGCTTGATGGTAGTGTCCCACTTAAACTTCCCAGTTTTTTCCCTTTAAACCATTGATTTGCATCCATCCCCGGCTCACAGGAAATGTCAGACAGCTGGTCTGCATCTTGCTGGATACCAGAATCGGGCCCACGAGCAGCTATGTGCTCCTGCATGGAGGAGGAGATGCTGGAAACTTGAGGATACTCATTAATCATCCGGATCTCATCATCTTCTGCTGCTTCCGCTTCAGCAGAACCACGTCCACTGGAGTGAGATGGGTCAAGAGACCCACCTCGTGCGTAGGTACCTCCTCCGCTCCCAGTTTGGTCTGTTGCATACCCAGGAAGAGTCTGATGATACAGCTTATCACCCCCTGGCACTTTCGATTCTTCAAGACTCTCCAGAACGGTACCGTGGGATACTATTCTGGCGCAAGCCTCTTGTTCTTTGTACTTTTGGGATCTCAAGAGGAATATCACCACAACAACTATGATCAGGAACACAATGGCTGCCAAGGAAGCTGTTATAGCACTGGCAAGTACCACATTCATGTCTGTGTTCAAGCCGAAGGATGTATGAGTGACATCAATTGTGACCTGGGCAGAAGCTTTTCGGGAAATCTCCAGAGGACTGTGAGCAGTAACATCCAACGTCATCTGACGTGTCTCTCTTTTGGACCGGCTTGTATGTCGATGATATGCATCCATCTTGAGGGATATCACTCCTGTAGACGTGTTGACCTCAAAGTAAGGCGAACTGTTTGCGAGTGTGTAGAGGACAATGCCGTCCACCCCTCCATCCTCATCATTAGCATTTACTTGCCCGATGCTTTGCCCTTTCTTGGCACCCTCAGGTACATGGAAGGCAAAATCTGAGTTAGTGAAAACCGGGTCATACTCATCTTCACCAGTCACAAAGACCTGAACTGTGACTGTGGCCGAGTAGTTGCCTGCATCCATTGCGATAGCAATAAAATTGAAAGCGTTTACCTTCTCGAAGTCGAATGTAAAGCGGGTTCGTACCTCACCGGAGGTTTGGTTGACTAGGAAGGAATCTTTACCGTTGCCGGAATTATACATGAGGAAATATCTCAATTCTCCATATGCTCCTTTGTCATGATCAATGGCATGTAGTATGGTAACTAGAGCCTTTTGGGGCTGGTTTTCACGAATGCTTGCTGTGAGTGATTTAAGAGGGAAGTAAGGCCTGTTATTATTGATGTTCTTGACCTCGACAGTTACAGGAGCAAGAGCGAAGTGGCCCTGACCGTCTGAGGCCTGAATGATGAACACACGAGAGGACTGTTTCTCACTATCAAGAGACCTCCGCAGACGAAGGGACCCAGTCCAGCGATCAATAGAAAAGAGCTCAGACTCGTCTCCAGAACTGATTGAGTATTGAACCTCTCCATTAGATGTTGAGTCAGGGTCCACTGCAAAAAGTTGAAGTATTTCTTTTCCCGTTTCTGCCCCTTCATTGACAATAACGTTGTACTCAGCCCTACTGAAGGATGGAGGGTTATCATTGGTGTCCATTACAGTGATTAAAACTGGAACACTTGAGCTTCGTTGTGGTATGCCGCGATCTGAGACCACAATAGTGAGATTGTAGCCATTCGCACTCTCAAAGTCAAGCTTATCAACTAATATCAGCGTTCCAACTGTCTGAAATCCATGGCCCTCAAGGAAACGAACACTGCTCTCGATTTGGAAGGTGTTACCAATGTTTCCACTGGCAATGGCGAAATCAAACCCGCAGTTGTCCCTAGATAAGTCCCCATCCACTGCTTCCAGGGTTAGGATGGTTGAACCAGGAGCTTCATCTTCAGATACAGAGGCTCTGTACTCAGTCTGGTGGAATACAGGGGCATTGTCATTGACATCAGACACATGCACCTGAACTGTGGTAAGGGCAGTCAACGGAGGTGTTCCACTATCACTGGCTTCAATCACCACCAAAATGGAAGGGCGCTGTGAGTCAAACTCAACCTTCTGCTTGATGAACAGAGTACCTATGTAAAGAAATTACATTATAAGGTAAGATCAGGGCTTTTACTAAATGCTTCAAAACAGTAGTTCTTAACTGGTGGGTGACAGCCCAAAAATGATATTCTGAACAGGGTCCTGGACTGCTGTGCATCTAACTATAGAGTCTTTAGGCATAAATTGATCTACTCAATAATTGGAATAGTGTTTTTTAAATTCTTTAGGCTTGTAAATCACATTTCTTCTGTTGTTAATGATTTGCACATTTTCCATTATTTTTTTTCTATTCAGTATCATTATGCATATTTTGTGATCTCTGTAGTTCACATTACTTTTGTTTGATTGACAAATTTGATACTGCCACTTGACATCCTAAAACGTGGGCCCTGAAGAAAAACAAGCTGAGAACCACTATATCAAAAAAATTATGTCTTGTTCCGTAAGAATGAATTCTACATATGACAATGATTTGGATGAAGAACAATAAACAAAAGGAAAACAACAAGAACAAAATGACAAATTACCATTGCTTGGGTCAATGTAGAACATGTCCTTTGTTGACACAACCCTGTATGTTATCCTTCCGTTGTCCCCGGAGTCCTTATCTGTAGCAGTTACTGTGATAACTGAGCTTCCTGCTGGCGAGCGTTCTGCTAGAGTCACCTGCCAAAGACATAAATCGGTCTTAACACTGACGGCTTTGATCAGTACACAGCATCAATTTGTTTTTTCTTTTACTTAAAGAAATATTTTTGTAAATGTGCTCACAGGGAATATTTTCGAAACAAAAATATATGTCTCTTTGACATTTAAATAAACTGCAAGTGCCTTTAAGGGTTTAACCAGTGAAAATTATTTATTAAAGAGAGTGTAGAATATCAAAGTTAGTGTAATCTGTTATTATTGCAAGGCCCCCTAAAATACTTTTGATCGGTCAAATAACTGTTTACTATGTATTATTCAAACATCTTGGGTACCTGTCTTGGGAAAGTTACTTTGGAAATGTAATAGGTTACAGATGACAAGTTACACTATTTAAAATGTAATACGTAGTGCAACTATTTCAATTACTTTTTAAAGTAATGTAACTGATTACATTTGGTTAATTTTTAATGATTTTTCTACATTTCTAATGAATGTTTCCAAAACGTTTTCATATTTTTTCTCAATAATTACGGTCACATTTATTTTGTAATTAAATTACATAATTTGGTAACATGTAACTAATTACTCGACAACATTGTTGGGTACTTCAAACATCTTAATGTACTTTCTCTATCAATATTCATCCTGAACGTGTGCTTTTTCCTAACATACCTCATAAAGGTCCTGAGAGAAGACTGGAGCATTATCATTCACATCCTCCACAAGCACGGTCAGATTTGCGTAAGTCCGGTGTTTGGAGTCCGAGGAGCTGACGGTCAGCATGTACCATGTTCTATCTTCAAAGTCCAGAGAGGCAGTCAAAGACACCCCGCCTCCATAGCGATGTATTCCAAACTTTCCTTGAGTGTCTGAGTCCAGAAGCAGGGAATAGGAGAGAGCCGGCCCAGAGTCCACATCATTCCCTGTGACCTGAGTGATCACGGTTCCAATCAAGGTATCTAGAGAGAGAAATACACAATCTTGATAACCCAGTGTGAAATGTAATTTATTGTTTCCGTTTGTGGTTGCACCTTTCAAAAGTATTACATATTGCTGGACAACGCCCACCATTATTGGACACATTGTACAACATCAGTGACAGGAAATAACCATTAAGGACCTTGGCGAGAAAA